AGTTTCCTTGCCAACCACAGCTCTTCCTATATGTGAGGTCTGCTGGCCTCTACAGTGCTTAAAATCTACCTTGTGACATCTGAGTACTGGGCTTATCCCAGCTTTTCCTCTGTCACTTTGTTCCTGTGTTTGGTTAGAAGAAGGCATACTTAAGAACCTTGGGTTCTTAGTTTTATGTTTTCTTTGTTTTGGTCTTTGAGACAGGATATTGCTATACAGTTCAGGTTGGGTTTGGACTGGTCTTGACTTGTAGTGATTCTCCTGCTTCAGCTTCCCAAATGCTGGGATTACAGGCATGTGCTGCCACACCCGGCTTCTGATTTCTTAGAATATCAAAAAGAGCTGTTTTTTTATGAATCAGTATCACATACCGCCTGTGGACTGCATTTCTGATACCTTCCAGAAAAAGTCCCTTGCTTAGGCATACCAAAGAGGAAGAGTTGCTTGAGCCACCTTTAAAAACCTCTGTAGAACCTCTAGGCCATATTCACAAAACACTGCTCCTTTACTTGGATGTTTAGTTTGGCAGCACAGTCACAACTATCATTCACTTGTGAAGGTACAGAGCTGGCCAAAGTCATGTTGCTTGTCAGCCAAAGGTAACCCTGGAATGGCTCCAGGCTCAGTTACTTGCTTTAAGATGACAGGAGAGAATCAGATGATGTAGCTACTGTTCTGAGTGCCTAAAAAGCTCACACCAGATGTTAGAAACCTTATCATTATTGAGAAAAAGCTACAGCTCTGTGCAGTCACACTGACATTGGCCTAGCTGTTTTTAAGTGCCTGCAGTAGCTATATGAAACTCTACTTCCTGTTCCTGGCACATTGAGGGGTCTCAGTATATGGCTATGTCAACCAAAGAGTTTCCTCCTTCAGTTGTTCTGCAGACTTTAGAGCCAAGAAACACAAATTCAATGTGATGTTATAAGAACTCGAGTGGATTGTGGTTCAGAGTTATTTATATGAATGTCATGTGTTTCCCTGTTTTTTTAAAAAAAAAAAAGGTCCTAAATGATGGTTAGCTTTTTAAGCACAAACACTAACTTGTTTAACTCATAAAGAAGTATTCTAGTAGTAAAAATGTACATCGTTTGTGACTATTAACAAGAAAATGATCTGTGACTTCCAAATTTGATTGCCAACAAGAAATGTGCTGTTAGTACACTGGCCCCCGTTATCAGCCCACTGCAAGGGAGGCTTCTGTTTCTACCTACTGCCAGGGATTTCTATGGGGAAATGCAACTTACAGCAGTGGCCTATGGGCAGCAGCAAACCCCGGCTTGCTCCTGTGTCCATCTTGCCTTATCCTCAGCGTAGGGCTTGGGCAGTGCACTCAGCACCAGGAGCAGAAGTGGCCCTGCCCAGGTGAGCCCAGCAGTGTGTTGTCACGTGGATTAGGAAGATGCTGTGCATCAGAGATGTACCTTTTTTCAAGCTCCAAGCTGCATTGAGAAATTACTAATCTCTGTATTTTTATTAAGCCTTAAAACTTTTAAGTGCATTTGGTGCCAACATTTTTCTAGAACTGTATCAAAGCAAGAAATCTGTCCTCACATCATAGTGTAATTTTGATAGGAACCTTTTTATTTTTACAAGGCAGAATTGGGTATAACAGTTGAATTAAATTTAGTAATGATAAACTCAGTACTTGCTTGTTTTGTGTTTTCTCAGTCGTCGATTCTACAGACAGAATGCCTGAACTCTGCAATCTCCCTTACAGCTTTTCATTGGTGAAGAACCCAACCCCCATCCTGCCTCCGCATTTATCTAGAAGATACAAATCAATTTTCTCAAAGCTTTGGGCAGAATGAATGTAGTCTACCAAAAATTAATAACTTAATGTTTAAAAAAAACTTAATGTTTTGTAAGTTTAATATAATTTTTTTCACACCACTTGTCTTAAAGAACTAGGTCTTTTGCCATTTATCACTCCAATTATTTAACTATAGGATGGCTAAAAACTTATGTTAATTTTTACTTTTACTCATTTTATTTATTTATTTATTTGGAGTACTTGGGATCAAACTCAGAACTTTGTGCTTGCTAGGCAAGTGCTTAAGCCGCTGAGCTATGTTCTCGGCCCTCTTTTGTTAATTTTTATAACAGTAAACATAAAAACACTTTTATCGAATTTATTTACTACAGCACCGGGGAGATAGCTCGGGAGTCTAAATGCCTGCCTGGCAAGCGCAAAGGCCCAGGTTCACTTCCCAGTACCACATGCCTTGCTGGCCCTGCAAGGAGCCCGGCCAGTGAACAAATTCAGGCATGGTGGTGCATGCCTGTAATCCCAGCACTGGAGAGGCTGAGACACAAGGATCACTATGAGTCCAAGCTGCATACAAAGACTCTACCAAATTAATCAATTAATGATTTTTTTTTTTTCTTTCCAGTACCGGGGATTGAACTCAGGCCCTTGCACTTGCCTGGGAAGCGCTTATTCCACTGAGCCATCTCCCCGGCCCTAATGAATTTTTTTTTTTTTTTTTTTTTAATTGTGTGTGTGGCCAGCACAGCCCACCAGGGGGCGGGGCTGGCTGACATGTGGTGCTGGGGGATTAGAACTGCGGTCCCTTTGTTTTTGCTAAGCTTGTTCTAAGTAGGTGCTTTAGACCACTGAGCCATCTCACCAGCCCCCTAATGAATTTTTTTACTACAAGAATTGGCTGGTTGAAATGACAAGGACAGGTTGGATGTCTTTCCTCTATGTACTGGCTATTTTTATA